CTCGTATCCACTCTGATATTTTCCACGCCAACTGTTGGACGAAACCATGCTGCCAAATGCCTGCATGATATTCTCCGAGAACCGAAGCAAACGTTTCAGCCAAAGCTGCGATAGCAGGCAGTTTGTCGGTTTTTTTGGCCATAGCTCTTCGCGAATAATCGTTGACAATCCAAAGCCATTGCTCTAGGGCCTCTTCTTGACTCTCAGCAAGTTGAGAAACCAACATGGGCATTGGGTTATACTTCCAATCCATGCTCAACGCCTGATCTAAGCTCATCACACCTGCTGCACACCGCCATTCTAAAGTCGAGGGAGTGTACAAGAGTAGTCGATTGGCCATCATCTGTTCTTGTAAAGCCCATGCTCGCTGGCTCAATGGGTTGTCCTGCCTAGCAGCATGTCCACTGAAATCACCGATCCGAGCAGTGGCACTTCCAAACTGATCCAGCGATATTCGAAATGGTATTTGAACACTTGGAGATCTATCAGTAGGGCATCGTTGGAGGAATCCATCGGCTGCATCTGCTGCACTCGAAGCTAAAATGGTGACATAGGCCATGCTATATATTCTTGCCATGAACCCAATCTCACGGAGTTTGTCTTCCTGATCATCTTGGATGATGCATAGTGCGTCCACCTAAAAACATAGGTTAAATCATCCTCAAAAGAAGAGCAGCAGGGTTTCGCTTGGAATGACATCCTCCACTTACCCATAGATATGGTATCGAAAGTGAACGTGTAACAATAATAGCGTCTTTGATGGTCTGAGGAAGATCGCTGAGTTCCAAGTGTTGAGTTAGTGTCTCGAAGGTATGTGACCGGAGTTGAGTTTGTGAACCAGTTCCCCAGCAATACGAGAGGGCCGCGAATTTTCCAAAGGCTCCGTTCGTACAAAGTATCTTCGATGTTGCCACTTCAATGACACGTGTTGGGAGAGGTGAGTCAAGTTGCTCCGGGCAGCACTTATGAAGAGCACATTCCTTGATCCACCTCGAAATCTGGGTAGATGTGTTCGAGGGAGTCAAGTCCTTCTGCACTTCTCGGGCAGTGACCAAATGCGCTGCGAAGTTGTCGTCTTCAGCAAACAAATTAACGAAATTTCCATACTGACTATCCTCGGAATCTGATTTGTACGTCATACTGTAGACATTGCTGCCGGATGGAGTAAAAGCATCCCCCACATCTGCACTCAACGTAACCGTATATTTCTTGATAGGTGGTGAGCATGAACGTACAACATAAGCTCGTAAGTATGAGCACCATCGGCATTCGCTGTCTGTCTTCGCTTGTAGGTCCTCCTTAACGATCTAAATCAGCCCTTGCGTTAGCGTACGTCTGGACAGTGTACCTGACGTTTTATAGACGCAGAGAAAAGGTACTGCGACAAGATACTGACATCATATTCCAATTTCACCTTTTCACGGCGACCCAGTCTCTCAAAAGTCTCCGTATCAAAGACGTTGATCCAGCAGAACTCGCAGACCATCGCTTGCACACGCTCGAGCGGCTCTGGTACGCGCATCATCATGGCACTCATTATCGCAAGGCGATCCGGTTCAGAAGCGATATTAGCAGTTTGTTGTGATCGGATATGTTTGGATGAGCAAGGTGGGGTGGGCTGAACAGGAAGGTTGAACCATTTTGAAGCCTGAGGTTGCGGGCGCGCCTGAAGAACCTTGTCAAGTTTGCGTATGACAAGGTGGCATCGATTTACGTTGTACACATCAGGATAAGAAATCTGCGCCCACGATTTCGCGAGCTTTGAACACATGAATATCTGGTTACTTGGTATGCATTAGAGATATACTACCAAGCTTTTATACGACCTGGCCATAAGGCGCTGTCCCGTCGAGTTTGAAGTATCCCGGCTGCAGCTTTTGGAATATACCCGCAGGGTCGTATTTTCTCGACACCTTGTTCAGCTTGGCTTTATTTTCCAAGCCATACCCTGAAATGACTGGCTGGTAAGGGCTACTATACGGCATGTACATATAGTCATTGTATGCACCAAGTTCTTTTGCCATAGCAACCGATGCACTTAGGAAATCTTGTGCCGCTTTCAAGACGACCTTGTCGTCCTTCTCGTCAGTCCATGAGAGGTAAAAGAGAGCATGAAATAGAGGACCATTTTCGGGATGGAGGCCAAGAGCATTGCCGCCCTTCTTCTGCATAGCCTTGAGGGCGGGCTTGCTGAACGCTTGGAACGAGACGCTGGGCGCACCAACAGGAATATTCGGCGCAATCTCGAAGAGATGGTCAGTCATGCGCTTCATCAAATCTGTGTTCAGCTTGAAAGACTGAGACCACATAGTCGTCCGGAAGCCGTCTGGCATGCTTTGGCTCAGCCCGGATGTCGTATCAGCGAGGCTGCAGTTGCGTGTGCTGTCTGTGAGTGGAGGAAGCGAGAGATACTCCTTCAGTATAGCGGGTGGGTTCACTGGGTCGATCGGGTCAAAGTACTCATACTCAGTGGATGCGATCTTAACACCACGAGAGTATGCGACGGCAACGAAATGCGCAAGTTTGGTGTCGGTCTCAGCAGCCTCCACCGCATTCCCAAATGCGTCGAATAGGGCGGGTGCGTAGGTCGCATTGTACTGGCGTTTGCTCGCAAACATAAGGCCTTGAGGCAGGGTCTCGTAGTTGAAGGTCGTAATGATGCCGAAGTTGTTGCCTCCGCCGCGAAGAGCCCAGTAAAGGTCTGGAAAGGTCTCTTGGCTCACTTTGAGGATGATACCTGACGCGGTAACAAGTTCGAACGAGGCAATGTTATCACACGCCAGGCCATACTCGTTGGTATGGTGGCTGATACCTCCGCCAAGTGTAAGACCGCCTACTCCGACATATGCCGCCTATCCAGCATCAGTTGTGAACACGAAACATACGTAGGTCAATATCCAACTTACTCGTCCGCCAACAATGGCAAGATTGTACGGTGTCAGGTAATCATAAACCTCCTTCCACCGGTTGCCAGGGCCTACAGCAACAGATGTCTTATCTGCAGAGAGCTTTTTCTGGTTCATATTAACCATATCGACAGTGATGTCACCCTCGATGCTAGAAGCACCAGGAAAGGCTGCATGACCTCCGCTCTTGATGGCAAAAGGGCATTGTGTAAGACGTGCGATTAGGACTAGGCTCGAGACTTCAAGAGCGGCGGTTGGCGAGAACGTGCAGTAGGGCTCCACCTCGAGTTGCTGTATCGACCAGTACGTTGTCGGAGCAGTGTCAGACGTCTCAGTAGCTCCAAAGACGAGCTTGAGAGAGTTGCACTTTCTGATATTCAGCCAGCCGTGTACAAAACAAGGAGTGTGACCTTACGGCTATCGAACAGCCCTTGGATGAAGATCTCACCACAAGGCCAGCTAGCTCGGGTATGGCGGATACATTGACACCGTTGTTCATAAGGGCCTCCGTCACATTGAAGTCGGCTGGCTCGAAGACATCCTGAGTTGATGCTCTCGCAGCTACGGCAAGAGCGCCAAGGGATAACTTTTGGATAAATCTCATGGCAACGGAAGTCGACAACCGTCAGCGCGCAGGATTTGGAGTGGAAATCATGCGGTCCAAACGCGAAGAGGCAGGCCTCAACTGCAGAAGACAATCCTTTTGTAGAAGCGATCAAACCCGCGGAGCTTTCACGCGAGCAGTGGAGTCAGCACTTGCAGGGCTAGAAACGCCATGGCGAGTTAACCGACTGTTGCTGCTGCGGTTGGAATGCAGATGTTGGTCGACCGGGCGTGCTTTCCTGTGTCTACTAAACCGTTCATAGCGCGTGTAAGATTATATGAGCTGTCCAATCGCGCGTTACTAGATTGTTACCTGCATGGGTAACAAGGGCTGCAGGACGCAGACCGAGCTGCCGAAATGTGCAAGTGGCATAGATTTCTTTCCATGGATTGCATTCCTGGCTAAACATGTTGAACCCGATCGATGTCGCAACAAGCACGAAGAACGCGAGGAACGCAAGTTTGTCTGCATCTTGTCGCCCCACGATTCAGTTAACACAGAGGCACTGCAGAAACTGACACATCTTATGCCCTTTGAAGAGGGAGGTATGTTATGGATAGAGCCGATCGAGAAAGAGGAGATTCTGGTCGCGACCACTCTCTCTCACCGGCGCCGTCTTGGCTGCGGCGCTGTTTGCGGGCGAACCCGCCCGCCGGTTCCTCTCTGATCTTCCCCTCCCCATTAGCACAAGTTTCTCATACATACAATATTCGCTCCATGCCGTCGCATCGATAAATGGCATCCGAAGAAACGACTAGCAAGCACAGGCAGGTGCAAGGCTTGCCGTGTTATCCTGGGCGACAATCTCGGGGAAGCTTCGCGCTGATGAGCCTCTCGATCACCTCAACCCTGCAACTGCAGAACGCGTCCACTCAAGCGCGATGTGGCGCGTAACGAAAGGTCGAGCAGACGCGTCTATTCAACTGACTTTGATCAAACAAGCAAAGGGATGAAGTTGTAGATCATAGCCTAGCATGCTGGCACGCCGCGATCTGCTGTATCACTAACATGTTCAAGTTACCTCGATGTGGCCGCACGAACTATTCTACGCATTCATTTGCATGAGCGTCTTACCATCGCTGGAATATGATGTGTTGGGGCGGTAAATCCACTAGAAAATCAGCAGAAGAGACGAATCGGGTGAACATAGAATATGAAGATTGGTCAAAGACACTGACTTAATAGCGCCGAGGTAATTGTGAATGCAATCACGACATCGGCAGTCAAGCCAGGCCACTATCCGCTCTGAAGTCCAGTACTATCCCCGTTGTGCGACTCAATGACTACAGAGAAGCTGAACAGAGCTATAAGTGTGCTCTTGTCGGAACTATGCTCTCATCTCTCATCCTATCTTCTCCATATACCTTCACCGAAACGTGCAGGATCCCTCAACATGTGTTCCAGCATTATCCCTCCTCCATGGCTGCGTCACACCTTCACACTTACTACATCTCAGATCCACATCCAGACAATCGACAAAGTCATGCGACTCAATTCCACATCTCCAACAATATACTCTCACCCCAATCGGCGGCGCCGGCGTCGGCCAATTCATCAAACCCTGCACCACAGACTCTGCCGACTTGCAACTCGACTGCCCTGTCTGTCCTGGCTTCGCGACCTTGTTTACCGGGCATGAGTATATTTCGAAACGAATGGCTGAAAGGGTGGCGATAATGGTAGCGTACATGGCAGCATTGCCACTATTCTGAGGGTGGTGGACAGGAATCTTGAACTGCTGGAGGAGGTACGTGAACGATGCATCTGCGTGGCGCGTTATCTTTGCTTGCTGAGGTATAACTTGCGCGTCTAGAGTTGCTATCGTAGTAACTATACTAGAAGGATCGAAGTCAAAAGCTGTCTTTCGCATCTTGCTTATACTGTCATTGGCGCCGAAGGACATGTACACGATCGGTCGGAAGCCGGATGCTGCTTTCTTCTCATTCATGGGCTGATGCCAGATCTGTTGGAGGAGGTTGAGAGCTTCTTCGTGGGACACATAAACTGTCGTACCGAAGTGGAAAGGGTCTAGACCAGTGGGTGTAGAGTCGAGGTGCGCAGTGGAGCGGATGACAAGGTGAAGAGACCATACTTGGCGGAGTAGATCTTCGGCATGTGGGCCAGCTATGGGTTGCCCCTGGTTGGTGTTGGCTCTATCGTAGGTGGTGATTCCAAGCTCAGTGAGGCGGTGCGGTGGGGTTGCGGACCATTTTCGGTGGAGGGTAACCAGAACGGCGTCCCGAAGGAGGCCGGTATTGGACCTTTGGAGGTATTTGTGAAGGACATCTCGGTCTGGGCTTTTGGAAAGGACGTTACGCAGTGATTCCAGCTTTCCTGGCGTGAATACGGACATGATTCCCAGCTGCTTGATAGAGATGGACAGGAGCAGAAAAATGACAAAATAGTTGTGAGACTAGACCTAGACCAACTAGAGCGGAGTCCAAGAAGAGACTTACGATTGTAGCAGTGAAGGTGAAGGTGAAAGTGAACTTAACTTACATCTCTCAGTTCCATCTCCTGCCGCTTATCATGGTATTGATTTTGCGATGCTTCCAATGTAAGCAATGACCTCCCATATCTGTATCAGGCTCAGATTTTAAGTCTGTTCTGCAGTTGGAAGCGACAGCACACATCGAGGCTGTGACATACATGTCTAGCATGATGTATCTGTATATTCCTAAGTCTGTGAGTTTCGACGACTTTGAAAAACTCGTTCAGTCAAACGGCCACCATCAGCTTTTGAGATATCAATGGCTGAGACTTGGTTAGAGAACCAGGGTCCTTTTTCCAATAGAAATCTCGTTCGTCTGCTATCCTCATGCAGAGGAAGGGCGAGCTCGGTTGCATGCTAGCGCAGTCGCTAAACGTACATAGTCCTAGGCCTCCCTAGATGCACCAGGTGGCCTTATCACCCCACCACTCTCGTCATTGCTTCAATGACATACCGTATCTACCTCAAAGCCGCAAAGGTTCAAAGAGAGTCAAGATCACGTCATCTCGGGTGCCTGGGTGTCAAAGCGACGCCAACAAAGTATTGGTAAGCTATCATCGGATAGAGGCAGTGTCTACACCCTGATTGGTACTGAACTACCTATGTAGCCTCACTACAATGACAAAAAATCCTCTCCGCGCGTTGAAGAAGCTTCTTCGTACTAAGATGCTACGGCCCAAACGCCGAACCCTAACTGACCTTCCGGTCGAGCTGATTGAGTTGATCGGAATGAAGCTCCTCGATCATCCGACTTATGAGCGACTAGCCATACCACAATCGACGCCGGAAGGGCGGCAGGCAATTTACCACACTCGTTCATCATGTCGATCTCTTTATAACGCCTTCATGAACATCTTCATAGGGATCGTCCAAGACATGCCATATCGTTGCACAGAAGAGGGTTTCCGCACTTTGCTCCGGCTGTTACAAGTTCCCGATGTGTCAAAGAATATTAGACAACTCACTATTGGCGGAGCGCATATACTCAATTTGGAAGAGGAAGAGAAACAAGCGGCCTGGATAGGACAGGACTTGACGGATACTCTCAGGACGATACTGAATGTTTTACCTCACTTGGCCAGTATCAGATGTGTTCCAATGAATACGTACATGTTCGAGAAAAAAGACGTCGAGGAAGGTGGCATCGTACTTGACAACGATGTGGAGAATAACTTCCATACCTCAATGGCGATCTTGACAGTATGTTCAACTATTACAATAGGTGGTCTGGAAGGACACTGATGAGTAAGTGTAGCGCATTCAGAACGCATTAAGGATGACTGTTCACGCAGCTGCCGTTACTTCTTTCACGTTAAGATGCAACTATGCCCACAACGTTGAGTTGGAAGGAGCAATGTCTGATACAAAATGCAGCCGTGTAACTATTTTGCCTCTCTTTGAAAACCCCCACTATGGTCTCCAGCACCTTACAGTCGATTTGGAATGTCTCCAGACATTCGGCGTCAACGCGAATGGTCACATATCACTTCCCGGCCTCGAAACCTTGACGATTATCTTGACACGGTCCGAGATTGACAATGAAGAAATGGTGGGATTAGATATCCTGGCCAGTACGCAACCTCAACAACTCATACTCACTGGTCGTGGAGGCATCTCTTTGAGTCAACTTTATTCCCTCATTTCCCCATTCACTACTCGGCATCGCCCACCATCCCACCTAGTCTTACGCGAGACGGCCATAAGACTGGAACATCGTCACCATGACCCCAATCCGCCCCATCCGATCGGGGTTTGGCATACCTTCCGGATCAGTATCTTGGAGATCCAAGACGTAACATGGAACCGATATTTCAGCACATCTTCTAGGCGAAAGAGCCAGGGATGGTGTGAGACAGGTTGGGATCTGTTCCCTTATCTTTGCGAACTGTCGGACGCTGTGCGTGTACGTATATCGCTGGGCGGATCCAAGAAGGAATTTCTCCAGAGACCTGACGGGGCTCTGAGAATTGAGGGTTGTAGCGATTCCGACGAGGCCGACGAGGATGAAGGCACAGGGATCGATCAGGTTGTTGGGTGTAACAGCAACACATAGTTATTGGCGTGGGTTCAACACGAAGTGGAGTCGTACGATCTGGATCTCCCTCCAAAATTGACAATGACTTTTTCAGCCACCACCAGGTTTCTTCTTCAGCGCTCCTCCGAGAATACTTGGATCAAGCATCTTGGCTTCCGGCACGTCAACACCGCATCGCACCCACATGCTGCTCCAAAGCGCGCCGACGGCTCTCTCCTCGGGCATGAAAACGACTGTGTTCACGTATGATCGCGTTGTGTTGTAACAATCTGGCATGTTGAACAGTTGCGCTTCACAGTTGTCGCCCTTGTTCGAATAGAACACGCCGCATCGCGCTTCGCTTGGAAGAGTGATGCAAGTACCGTTCTTCCATTTCTCGAGGGGTGGCGGAAAATATGTCTTCTGTAGGAGTTCGCCGCGACAGTGCTTAGGCCCACCTGCACCCGCGTATGTGAGGGCAAGGATCGGTATTTGAGGAGTGGTCGGTGGTCGAGGCACCGGCGCGGCAGATGGTGTAGGCGTAGCTATTGGTCCCAAGACGCCTTCAGCGCTCCAACTGGCACTCGTCTGCGGTTCCGGGGTGAAGCCAATCAATCCTTCCTGGGTTTCGGTCATTGTTGTGGGTACTAGCGTCGCTCCGGATACGATGGTACTGCCATTGTACACATCACCGCGATCGAAGTCTGTGCCGTTCAACAGCGCTTTTGCCGCAACAACGTCATCCCCATCTCCAACTCTTGCAGCTTGCGCGAAATTGATCTGTATGATTTGTGGCGTTGGTCCGCGTACTTCGATGGCGGTCGCTAGCGAGATTGCGATGAAGAGGAGGAGTGATACAGACGACGCGACGAGAACCATACGTCGCGATATGGACGACATTGCGATAGCATTGGATTAGATTCGAAAGACTGAGGAGTTTGGGGAAAGACGCGACAAAGTTGAGGTGCGCAGACAACGCCAAGACGTCATCGGGGGCTCCTGCACTACGCGTTTCATCCCCACGTCCTCCCCAAACACCGTCGCAAAATAGCTATTAGCACATGTCTGACGGCCTGCTAGGTAGAAGAAGAGCAGAGTGTGGTTGTTATGTATCATCTTCTTGGATCCTGCATGACCCAAGCCTCCTCATCCGACAACATTGCAGAAAACGAATATACCTTGACCCTCTCGTCTTCATCTCCATTGTCGCTGCCTTCCTCAATCCCAACCTTCTTTTCATCTGCTTGCGCCCTAGAGACATTCCTTACGAAAGCTTTGGCGATGTTGCTGTCTATTGATTTGTCGAGAGTAACTTGGTACGATCATAAGTGATCTCTTCATACCGCCATGAAGATCTGTCCATGTTCCACCAGGACACAAAAACCTTGCATTTCTTTTTCACAAGTTCCTGGATATGTGGGAACAGAACAGCCTTGTATCTCTCCATGGCAAATGAAGTTCGTACCTCGACGGAGAGGGTAATCGCGAGTCGTGATGCATGCTCCGTGGCCGCGAGATCACTAAGCCAACTGACTTGTTTCTCATAGTCATCCTTTGTTGCTTTGCTCTCAGCCTTTCTCTGCAGGATAACCGCTTGATGATAGTTGTTGGAGCTAAAGTAAGGTTCCATAGAGACACACACCGAGAGCGTTCGGAGGTGGTCGAGAGGTCGACAGGATGGATGAATTATCAAAGGGCCGCTGTAAAGTAGAGGAACAACATCATCGATATGACGAACGTTGTAACAGGCACATCGGTTAAAGACTTGTGCGATCTCCATAGCAAACTCATTTCCCATGTAATCTCCGATGAAGTAGTGTTGAAGCTCATTGTCAAGCCCGCGGGCCTGGCCACGACGGCCACCGAGTTCCACATGGAAGAAACACTCTCCACGACTATTCGCCGGCAAGCTTTTGTAACGTGGTAGAATGTGGGCCGTTGGAGCACCGCCGATAAGATGACAGTAAACCATGTCTCGCAGCTCGCGAGCCAGAATCTCGAAGATCTTCGTAGCGAACTTACTGTTCCACATGCGCGAGTAGTCATTGTATGCCTTTTCGAAGGCGCTGAAGGGAGATGTCGTATTAGTGAACAAACTGCTGTATTGGGGAGGCCCAGACTTACGTGTATAAGTTCCGCTTCTTGCGCTGAAGTGTGCTTCGTCTGGATTCAAGTTCTTTAATCTCGATATCGACAGTGGTTTCCCCTCGATGGCTGAATGAGCTTCTGATCAAGAAGACTATAGCTTTGACTTACATCTCACAATTATCCTGGATCTCTTGCTTGAGCCTACTGGATTGTCAGACACTGGAACACAGCTTGTACGTACTATTGACGTTTTCTTACAGTGCCATTGTTTGGATTTTGGCTACGAGTTGATTCTTGGGAGCCATTTTCGTGCCCATTGCGTTGTTTAGATATTGGTGTAATGCGTTGAAGAGCGAAAGGAATTTCAATCTTTGATCTGAGAGATGAAGTTGATGGCATTATGTAGTGCACTTACGCTCAAAAGGCAAATTGAGAAAGCCGCAAGCTAGGCACGCTCACGTGTACTAAGATCTAGGCAAACCCCAAGCTTGGCAGTCATGCCTTTCTTCGTGAAAGGCACGGGATCATAATGAATGGGAATTTTATGAAATCATTTACGCCATGAAAAAGTGATAGATGTCAAGAAGAACACAGCGACTATGAGCAATCTTGGAGAGCTGCAAAAGCAAAAGCGATTGAACGGATAAGATATATGCTAGTCAAGACTCATCTGTACCTCTTCAAGCATCTCCGACCTCAGCCTTCTCTTTAGCTTTGTCTTGCGGCACCTTGACAACAATCTTACCCCTCGCCCTCCCCGTCTTCAACTTCTCAAAGGCTTTCGGCGCATCTTCCCAATCAAACACTGTATCAACAATACCCTTCAACTTACCCTCCTTCATCCACTCGCCAAGCTGCCTCAGCGCATCCGCCGACGGCTTCGCCATCAGCATCTGATAGCTATTCTTTCCACCGCCCAGAAAACCTGGTAGCAGCATATTCGAACCCACTGTCTTTATGCTATCCATGCTCAATGTTGATCCGATCTGGATGAACTTTCCGGCTGGCATAAGATAGGAAGATGCAGATTTGTAGAGGTTAGATGGCGTGCCGATGTTATCGACTACAAGGGTAAAAACCTGACCCTTGGAAGAAAGAGTATCAATGACATCAGAGGTTTTGTAATCGATGACTTCGTCTGCGCCCAGACTTTTGCAGAGGTCGACGTTGGGTGTTGAGCACGTCGTGGTAACGTGGCAACCAAGCGCTTTTGCGATCTGGATGCCATAAACACCAGTGCCGCCCGAGCCGCCGTTGATGAAGACTTTGTCGCCGCTCTTAACGTTTGGCGCGATGGCTTGATATCTGAAAATGATGTTAGTAGATCCTCCGGCTTCATTGACAACTCGCCCGGCCTTACTCGGTCAACCCCACGATCCCCACACCAGCCGCATCCTCTACCTTCACGCCCTCTGGTAATGTCGCCAACATATTTCTCTCCACAGCCACATACTGTGCCAAACTTCCTCCCGTCAGCGCACCGACTTTCGCGCCAAACACAAACTCGCCGATCTGGAATTCGTCGACCTTCTTTCCAACTTTGGCGACTTTGCCGCAAAAGTCCGCACCCGGGGTGATGTCAGAGCCTACAAGTCGCAGTGGCATCGGGCCTTCAGTCACCTTATGGTCGACGGGATTGATCGCCATGGCGTGAACTTGGATGAGAATCTGTTCATCGTGAAGCGTAGGTTGAGGTGCGGCGTCGTTGATCTGCAGGTTCTTCTCGATTCCGCCTTTTGTGCTATTATACTGCCAGGCCTTCATTGTGGATGCCATTTTGTTGCTCGAACTGAATGTGACTACTTGCGACAGTTTTCTGGTTGCTACGATGGGTTCAGCAGGGAGTGCGGTCCTTCTTATCTCGTAGCGTGGAAGTAGGTATGCGTCATGACGATTCGCTTTGAGCGGGGCATGCGCCACCGCCGTCTGTCAACACGATCTTGGGAGCCTTCTCGTCCATCGAAGGTTCATGCAAGCGACTCGCGTTATGGCGCAAGCTGAACTCGCGTAGGGAGGTCTTCACACTGTTAAAGCGGGTTAGGTAGGCAAGGCTGCTCGCCCAGCGGGCCGTCTTACTTGCGCCGCCTGATCGATAGGGCGAACCCACGTTGCTGTCTAACGCGATCAGGCGTATTCTGCGCAACGACCGCCAGGGGCTAACATGACAGTACAAAGCCACCTACTCGCGAGGCAAAGTGGTCTCCCCACGCCTAGTCCACTCAGCAGCTGTAAATGCTTAGCAGCCCGCGTCGGCGCCAGCCTATCCTCATGTTGTACTTAGTGTTGCACCAACTATAAATGTCGTCGGCGAGGAGACGGATCCTCCAGAAGTTTATTGTAACGATAACAACAGAAGAAGTATAGTGCATTGTAGCATGGACGAGTTGTTTATTCATACGAAAACATTCCTCCATCAGTTGGTCCTGAACGTCCTCACACACGCCCAGCCACCCTGTGTCAAGCCTCTTACGCGTATGTAACGAACATCTGTTCGAAGCCAGTGACATTCCACGTCCCAGTGAGGGTGTTGAGCGTCAAATTTGTTGGGGTGGTGGCTCCGCGTTGAAGCGCGCCACTCTCAACATGACCGCCAGTAGCGACGACAGTTCCGTTGGTCCTTTCCCTGAATGTGGGTATACGATATCAGTAAACGTCTCACATGAAGTTCGGACGTGAACACTTACAGGTGGTTGGCACCGGCTTTGACCGTGAAGTTTGCAAGGCTGATGTCGAAAGGATTTCGTGATGCCACAGATGGAGAGCCTGTATAAGGTCAGCATACAAGATGAATCATTGAACAAGCGTACGATGCAGCAACCTACCATAGTACTGCGCGTTGAGCTCCTCAGGTGAGATGAATAGCTCGTAGTATCCTCTGTAGTAACCCTCGGTCCACTGAAGCTCGCGGTTGTCGCGCACGAGGGCAGCGGAACGATCGCTCGAGTTTGCAATAGATCTACCAGCGCCATAACCACTGGAAGAAACGGCCGTGCCGGCGAATTCGACACCAATAGCACCAGCACCCGTAGATTGGTCGTACGGAGTCTCGTCAAGCCAAACAAGATCAGACACCCAGTTGGCATGAGAATCACCAGCCAAGAAGGCGGTGTTCGGAATCTCGTTGCTGTAAAGATGATGAAGGGTACGGTTGCGGTTTGCAGTGTATCCGTCCCACTGATCAGCGTTCAGCTCTTCGTCGTACACGGCGCTATTGTTCATCCGCGAGAAGATGATTTGATTTCCGACGATCCTCCAAGTAGCCCCTCGCTCATGCGATTTGGAAAGCTGGTTGTAGAACCAGTTTTCTTGAAGGCTACCCATCAGCGAGCGGCCAGCATCATCTTTGAGATCCGCAATGTAGTCGTCGTTCCAGTTGAGAGTCGTGATGGATCGGTCGTAGTTGCGTGTGTCGAGCATGATCAGGTCAAAAAGTTTACCCATCTTAAAATTACGCCAGATGCGCAGGTTGTCGTCCATGTCAACCTGGCGAATACTGTGTCGATCATTAGTGGGATCGAGAGTGGGAACAATAAGGTACGTACGGCATCCACTCGAAGTATGCTCTGACGGCATTCATCTTTCTTGAGTCAACACTCACGCCTCCGAACTTTCGGAAGCTCTGCTCGGTGTTGTTCATGTTGCTGAAACCATCGCGATATCCATTGTTTGCGACCTCTGTCAATGCGTTAGTCGATTGTAGTTCATCAATAATTTCCACGAACCATGATCATCCCAAGTTGGAATCCATGCAAAGTTTTGGTGTGCAAGAAGCAGGTCGTCATCGGTACGGTACTGGCCGATTCTTGTTCGGTAGTCTACGAAACGGATTAGTAACGACCACATTCAAAGAGTGGTTTCACACGAACCATATAGTGCGACAATCTCTCTTGATGGGTTCGTTGCTCGCGGATCCTGACCAAGTTTGCCTTTGGTGGACTCATAGATGTAGTCACCGAGATGAACCTATATATCTCGATCAGCAGAGCCGATAACGCTTTTATCAACCATACTTACGAAGTAATCTACCTGGTCTTTCCTGGCCGCGTTCCCGTACGCATTGAAGTATCCATTCTGCCAATTAGAGCAAGAGAAGATAGCAAGGCCAATCTTTGAAACATCATCGTCTTCGTGAGGACTAGTCTTAGTTCCTGAATGCGGGCGAATAAAGTCAGCATACGTCTCACACACAGTTCGTACAAGGAAACTTACTGCCGAGCGGACTTTTGTTGGAGCTACCACAAACATTAAACTGGTAGTAGTACTGCGTGAATGGCGAAAGATTCTTCGCTTCAATCTTTTTTAAGATCAGCTAGTCGCTCAATATTATCATTGCAGAAAGCTGACCTTGACAGTGAAGTCGATGTCGGAAGTGGTGTATGCCTGGCCTTGATCCGCGATGCTTGAGAAATTGCGATCCGTACCAACGCGATAGTCCACGCAAATAGGGTTTGGCGAGGCCTTGATGTACTTCTCCGTCTCGTGGTTGTAGAATGCTACATTACCCGTGACGGTTACATTCGACCTATCGTTCTCAAGTGATGGTGCGATGCGTGTCCAGAGAATGACCGAGTCCGGGTAAGGATCTCCAGAAGCGACGCCGTGCGTGAAGCTCAGCTGGGCAGGATCCCAGGGAGTTGCCCGTTTCACAAGGCTCCTCTTTGCGACCTTTGGCACGTCTATGCCAAGACCCTCATGCCGGCGAGAAGGCGAGTGGTAGTTCAAGTTGCCATCAAAGGATGCACACACGAGCGAGGCTAGAGGCGCCGCTGCAAGAAGAATTGAAAGCATCGTGAAGGCTGAAAAAGCTTCAGTGGTTCTCCTCCGGTCCTCCAAAGTCTCAAGACCGGAAAGCTTAAATACTTCTATACATACTTTGACATGCCGTCCTCCATGCACGACTCTACCCTCTTTGCACCAAGCAGGCCGCCAACATTACCGCATCGCGCATTCAGCACGACACTGACAGTAGCTATGGCCAATCGCAGAAGGTGCATTGTAAGTGTGGAAAAACGTGCCTGTTGATCGTCAACGGCGACATATGCAAGATGCGCATGTGCGAAGAGGTAGAGATGAGATTGGCCGAGCGCTACTGCATCCCGTCTGTCAGTCTAGCCGATTGTGGGGGTACGCAGTTCGTCTGAACCTCGTCGATGCTGGTGCAAGAAACATAGCGTGAGGAGTCGACCCAACTATGTAGAACTGAGATGGCTAGTTCAGTTCGATGACAGGAGAGACAGTGCTTGACTTCCAAGGCTTCCAGCTCCTGACCTCTCAGATGGCCGCGGACCTTGACAGCGCTAACATATTAGCGCCGTCCGCACCACCCATCATCCGCCCCTTCAACATCCACTACTCCCTAATTCGCAGCGGGATTGAGGTCGTTCTCTGTGTTCTCTCAAACTCTAGCTGCTGTGTATATGGCTCACAGTGCAAACACACCTTTGCATCAAAATTTGTATCATACGCTGGGGTGATACGGCCTTTCCACACATCCGACCAATCATTTTATCGTTAGCACTTCATCCAATGCAACCGTTCTCATCATATCCACGTTCCGGCGCTCGGACTCTCATTCGCTCTCTTTACATCGTGGTATATCTAGCGTCGTTCTGTTCAAAGGTACATTATCAAAGCAAACAACAAGCCAAATGCTGACAGCAAGGCCTACAATGCGACTCATCTTTACTAATTTTAATTTTCTTCACTAGGAGCTCTTGTAGGCTGCAAGATCAGGCATATTATTCTTATATTCATTCAGTTTTTCCCTTGTATGCGGCAGGAAGACTACGTGCCCGCGACCATCACTATGGGGCGCGAACAATCTACTCAACCTTGTACACAAGCTTTACGCCTGATACCTTGTTATCCTTCAAGTCTTGCAAGCCCTGTGGAACACCGGCCAGTCCATTTCTGATCTCAGCCGGGTGAGTCTTGATCTTGCCACTGTTGAGCCACTCCTCAGCCTGCTTCCAGAACTTGGCACCAAACTCGTAATCTTCCTGACTGGCGCCGACGTTTTCATTGAACTTCTCACCGAGCGCGGTGTAGGCAAAGGTGAATTTGGTCTTGACGTCACTTCTCGGGTAGTTCTTGACTGGCAGAAGAGCAGACATGTGACCACCGCTGGAGCTGATGGCAGCAGCGGTGATGTCAAACGAGTTTCCTTCGGCAATGCAATCGAAAGCCAACTTCAGCTTGTCGTTGGTAGCTTTGCGGATCTGGGCGCCAACATCGGCATCCTTGTAGTTGAAGACCTGGTCGGCGCCGAGCTTGCGGAGCATGTCGAAGTTGTGCGGTGAGGATGTCGTGATAACCTCGCAGCCTGACGCCTTCGCGTACTGAATGGCGAGCGTTCCTGTCGCGGTGGAGCCGCCGTAGATGAGGACTGTGGTTGGTTCTTGCACCTTGGCGGGCGGCAGTGGCAGACCAAGCTCCTGGTACAAACCTTGAGCTACGGTTGTGATTCCTACACCCAAAGTCGATGCATCCTCGAAGGACATATTGTCGGGAATCTTGAGGTTGATTCCAGTCTTTGCCTTGATGTGTTCGGCGAAAGCGCCGTTGGAATGATCAGCAGGGTCACCTGAGGTACGTCAGTTACCACCTTCCAGAATGAACAATGCTGTCTGTACCTCCACGAACAAAACCAGCAATTCGGTCTCCAACCTTGTAGTTGGTCACAGCCTTGCCGACCTCCTCGACTATACCAGCATAGTCACACCCAGCAAGAGCGCCTGGCGCTGTCGACCACTCAATGCTCTTCCAGTCAGTTGGGTTCAAGGCTACGGCCTTGGTCTTGACAAGAAGCCAGTTGTCGGCAGGAAGCTTGGGCAGAGGGACGTCATTGCGCAGCTCAGAAACGCCTTTGGAGGCGCAAACGACTGCTTTTTGTGTAGACATGTTTCGTGAGGAGGGAATATGTGGAAGTCTGGTGTGTGGTTTTGTTCCTGACAGTAGGGGTATCGGGAACTTTGATGGCCTAAGGAGTCGATTGATATACATTCTGCTATGATGCAAGGCCTTGTAGTGGATTTGTAATGGGACCACTCTTAAGATCTACCGGGCGGGGCGGAGCATGTTCGGCGAAAGCTAGGGAGAGGGAGCATGCTTCGTACTCGGGGTGATAAGTAATTCGTGATCACTCATACTATGTTCGGAGCACTGGTGCAAGTGTAGCGTACTATGCATACTGTGAGAAGACCGTTGTAGTCTTTGCTTACTGCAATGTGATGTGATGCGGATGAAATGGTCCAAGCTCGGGCTTCGCGCTACGTAGGTAAGCTTTGGCGCAAGGGTCCAGCAGCGCGACGCATTTGACGCGTAGCTCTTCTGCTTCGACTCCACAGGCACGACCCCTCCAAGGCTTATTGGGCACGCAGTCTGTCATTACCGTCATGGACGACCTTCAACGGCCCCCAACGCCTGAGGACGAGGACATCAAGCTCAACTTCTTCCCCGATCCCCCGCCATTCTACAAGTACTTCACCACCGAGAACCTCGCCCGACTCAAAGACATTGAGAAGGAAGCCGCACCAGAAAATGACGACGCCCAACCCTCTACCTCCAAAGCCGCGACGAAGCTCTCTGCAGAACAAATTCTCGCTTTGCCGACCGAGCTCCGCTACCTGATACCACCCGAGCCACCTGCAGACGATGCCGAGTTCCACGTCTTCGGCGCAGTAGAAAGTGCCAAGGGCGCAAACAACTTGATGAAGAACATGGACTATATAGCCGACCAACTCAGGTTTCAGGATGTCTTTCACGACTGGACGTATGAGCAACTGTACCCCTCCCCCTCCACCGAACCCTCCGCCGATGACCCTTCCGCGCAACAGCCTACCACGAGCAACTCTGCGTCTCTCGACCGCCAGAACTACTTGTTCCGCTTCTTACGGAGCATATTGTTGAGCTACATCTCTCTCCTGGGTATCGTGGCTGCGAATCCAACCTCAGAGCAAAAGGAGCAGAAGCTCAAGGATATCATGACATTGGTAGCCAACATGCATGCGCTGATAAATGAGTACCGGCCGCATCAGGCAAGGCAGACGCTCATTGCCAAGATGGAGGAACAGGTGCGCAAGAAGAGGGAGGAGATTGAGAGCGTAAAGCGGATAGGAGAGAAGGTCAAGGAGGTCCTCGCTGGATTTGGTGGGGTGGACGGTGAGAATAAACCTAGCGATGGAGGTGAAGAAACTCTAGATGACGGGACAAGGGCGAGAGAGGAGGACAGGCAGCGTGTGCAGAGGGGGATGTGGGACGCTATTAACGAGGTCGTAGGATAAGAACCATGCGACCAGGCTCCGACACGGTCGGACAGCATCGTGACGACAATTAAGCTATTTCGATTTCAACTGTAAAAGTGGACGCATTGCCGACAATGAAGCTCGAAGCATCCGGTGCTTTCAAACACCACATACATCAGAAGGCTTACAATTTCGCAAACAACACATACATTCTAGAGACGAAGGCGCAGACAGTTTGTTGTAGGCAACTGCACTTGGCGAACGTCGGCACCAAGCAGCCGCACGATATCTAGAGTCTCGGCGTGGGCAGCATTGATCCAGGAACATGACGTCATGCGGCCTTTCCACTCGCCAGAAATCTACCTGCTTGATACTTTGGTTCTCATCAGCCACACCCAAAGCCACAATCCTTATTCTATTAGCTGTTCCTCCATAGTTCGTATCGTTGTTTCGGAAATTTCCGTTGGCGCGTCCCAGCTGGTAGTGCTTGTGACACGAACGTAAGCTTCAAGGGTTGGCACGCGCTCAGCCCCGGTGCGCAGACATCCAGGACTTGATAAAGAAGGCGACCACGGCTGACTGTTTGGGTTCAGCTCCTGACCGACTGTTCTCAGGCTGCGAACGCCGAGAAACAAGCAAGTGCGCGGCTGAAGAGGACCTCTACTTTGTAGATAAAATCGCATATATCTACATCTTCGACGCGTTTTATAGCCAGGTCATCTGCCATACTGAGAGACTTCGAGTTTCCGAGACTCTTCAAATTTGATCACGTCGTCACCATGCCATCCACAACCTCGACAAGGCCAACGAAACGCCTAGCCATCTTCTGCGACGGAACGTGGGTCGGCCGCGAAACCGAAGTCGAAGATGCACCACCAAGCAACATCCGACAACTCGCAAATATGGTCGGTGAAGTCAAATATGTCACCGACGACAAAACAGCCGCAAAGGTTCATCCCATCATACCTCACAATACAACGCCTAAAGGTTCTCCCCTGGACATCATCGCCGGTTACCAAGAAGGCGTCGGCCTGAACAAGACCTTTTTACAGTACATCTGGGACGGCGCAACTGCCTCCACCATCGGCGAAGAATGCATAGCCGCCTACCGCTTTATAGTGGAAAACTACACTCCGGATCACGAAATCTGGCTCTTCGGCTTCAGCCGCGGCGCCTTTACCGTCCGCTGTGTAGCCGGCATGATCAACAACTGTGGCATCATAAAACGGCTTCCGGAATACACAGATGTCGAAGTTCAAAGGCTCTGTCATGAGGTCTTCAGAACATACCGGAGTAACCTCCCCATTGACGCACCCAAGAGCGAAGAATGCCAGCGATGGAAGGGGCTTGATGATAAAGTCTGGCAAGTCAAACGGCCTATTCGTTTCATGGGTATCATCGATACCGTTGGTGCGCTGGGTATTCCGAGACTCAACGCGGGAATTGGGTTTGATTGGAGCCCATTTGAATTTTTCGACCAGACTGTCAGTAGCGTCGTGCAGCATGTCTACCATGCGCCTTGTTTGCACGATCGACTGTGGATCT